ATGGCAAAATAATAATAATTTATGAATTATGAAGGGTTTATAAGGAAGGGGGAACAGGGAGGGAGGGGGGAAATGAGCTGATATCAGGGCTCAAGTAGAAAGTAGATGTTTTGAGAATGATGATGGCAGCAAATGTACAAATGTGCTTGACACAATTGATGTGTGTATGGATTGTGATGAGAATTGTACGAGCCCCCAATAAAATGATTTTTTTTAAAAGAAAATATTCTCAAATTATGTGGCGATATTTGCACAAATCTTCCTAATATGATTTAACCATTAAATTGTATGATATATGAGAGAGAAAAGGAGATGCTCCCCATCATCAGTCAAAAATGCAAATTAAAACCACATAAGACACGACTTTACACCCACTAGGATGATTATGATAAAAAAGATGTCAGCTACTAATAAGTGTTGACAGAGGGTGGAAAGATTAGCGCCCTCATCTGCTGGTGGTGGGAATATAAACCGATGCAGCCACTTTGGAAAATAGCCTGGCGGTTTCTCAAAATGTTCAACATGATGTTACTATGTAGTCCAGCCATTTCACTTTTGGGTATGTGCCCAATGGAATCGATAACTTATACCTACGCAATCCTCACAACTGAACCAGTAGGTAGCATCGTGGTAAACAGAGAAAAGAGTGAAGTTGCCAAGGATTTTGTCTTGCTTTGATCCATGATCAACGCTTATGGAAGCAGCATCAAGAGATGAAACGGAAAAAATGCCCCACACTCCTTATTCACCTGACCTCACTCCATCCTATTTCTTTTTGTTTCTGCGAATGGAGAGGGACATGAGAAGACAGCAATTTGATGCCATAGCAGAGGTGAAGGAAAAAACGAAGAGGTGCTGTCAGCCATGCAAATAGATGAGTTTGAAAAATGTTTCCAAGAATGGAATCCCAGATTTGACAAATGTATTAAGTGTGATAGAAAGTACTTTGAAGGTGATAAGGTTGTTTTGTAAAAAAAAATCTAAATACATAGTTTTAGGGGGAAATTCCGCTTGTTTGGTGGGGGGGGGCACCTGCCCAATAGGTTCTACAAAACCAGGTGGAAGGCACAATTTGTCCCACATGCTCGAGCTTGCTCACCCTGGCGCTTAAAGAAAAAAAAAACAAGTAAGGGGAAAGAGGTCATGCTACTGAAATCTTGGTTGGATGAGTAAATGAATTTCAGTGTATTGTTAACCTTATCAGATCTTATCAGTGGTTCTTTGCAACCCAGTCTCTGGCCCTATCACTTCTTTCTTAAGAAATCTCCTGAGATCTACTCTAAGTATTCTTTTTCATAGCTTAGACTGCTAACAGTATAGTGCACCATGTATTGCCTATGTTCATTTCACCTGGTAGCTAAGGTCAAACATGCAAGTGTCACATAGGAAACTCAGAGCTAAATATCAAGGATAACTTGTATGGCATTTCTCTTTGCTCTTACAATGCCAGAGTGAATTATGAATCATTGCAACTCATTATACCAATGACCACATAAAACTGTCCATGCTCAGTTTTCAATATACAAATTCTATTTCTAACCCACCATCAGTTGCATGTATATCCTACCCTAAACCGTCCACACTCTCATGTCACTGTGCTTAGGACCAAGGGTATATTTTTGCAAGAGGGCTAGCTATTATTGCTTAGGCTATGTCAAAGGCCAAGGAGCAAACAGATGCTAACTAACTCAAGCAGCATTTGAGCCAGGGCTCCATCAGCATGGCCATCTGGGGCTAACCAACTGAGCTATAGACAACCAGCAATAGACAAGTACACAGTACATACGGAAAGAGGAACATAATAATGAATATATGCTTGTAAAAATTCCGAGACCCCTTGGATTCCTTCCTACTGCATTATTCTCTACATATCTGTTCCCTGGCCATCAGGATCCTTTCTCTCTGTGTGGGGACAGAGGGTAGATTAGGATCCGAGTATTATAGGAAACAAACTTAGAAGATTTGCTTTTCCCAAAGTCGCACAGCAAATTCCCTGACTCCAGCTTAAGTCTACATCCTTTCAGGTACTCTCTGACTACCCCCAGCTGTGCCTTTGCCATCCTTGGGGCAATTTGCTAAGAAAGCTCAACAGTTACTTTCTGCTCAGTCTAGGAATACGCCCAGGCTGCCAGTGCCCTACCTCCACTCAGGCCTACTGAGAGCAGGCCTCCATGGCCCTTCCCCCATGTCTTCCAGGACTTTGCCAGTGAAGGCCTTCGCACACTCATGGTGGCCTACCGAGAGATAGACTCTGGAGACTTCAAGGAATGGAGCAGAAAGCATAGTGAAGCCTGCCTGTCTTTAGAGCACCGAGATGACAAGCTAGCAAGTGTCTATGAAGAAATCGAACAAGACTTGCTGGTTAGTGTACCGCCAGGAAGAGACCGGGGTGGAGGTGGCAGCCAACAGACTCAGCAAGAGCCCTGAGAGTAACGGGGCCGAGGCAGGGGAGGCAGGGGAGATGGATTTGGCAGGAGAGCAGAGACTGGATGCATGCCAGCTGATTCCAGATATTTTGGAGTTCCAAAATCAATAAACAGTGAAAAATGCACTGGAAGTAATTTTTTGTATCTTTTTGGCAATAATTTTTATCTCAAAGCTGTTCACCAGAAACTAAATAATCGGAGAGAAATTAGGATCTGCATCATGAACATATTAGATAACAAAAATGTTGACACATTAATTCAACATATATGTTAAGGGTCTTATGTGTACCAGAGATTATTCTAAACCCTGGGAACCAAGTAGCAGTGGAAAAACACACCCAAAATCCTTACCCTTATAGAATTTGTATTCTGGCGGGGGTGGGGGTGGGGGTGAGTGTTGGGGGAGTTACTCCTTGGGCTGCTAGCCTTGCAGTTCCACAAATGACCAGCCGCTCCATGGGAGAAAGACAGGGCTTGCTACTCCCATAAAGAGTTACAATCCTGGGAACGTAGCGGGAGTTCTATCCTGTCCTAAACGGTAGCTGTGAGCAGCATCCCCTGAATGGTGGTGAGTTTATTTGTTTTGTCTTTTATAGCATGTGAGAGTGCTGCGGAGAAAGATGAAGTGAAATCAGGACTGGGGAGAGAGAGGGTGTGTAGCAGGTGAAGGCAGAGGCTGAGTTGCTAATTTAAATAGGCTGGTTAGGCTTCCCTCTGCAGGAGACATCTGAGAAGGACTCGGACAGGCAAGAAACCTGCCAAGCAGGTTTCTGGGTCATTCGCTTTCCAGACAAAAGGAAGCATACTGACAAATGGCCCGAGATAGGGACCTATCGAAGCTGCTAGTAGAAGAGCAAGTCAGCCAGTACGGCTGGAAGAGTGAACGAGATAGAATAATAGGCGACGAGCCAGAGGGCATCCTCATAGTGCACTGTACAGATTTAAGCTGAGATAGGAAACCATTAAAGCAGAGAAGTAGTACGATGGCTTTTAAAATAATCACTCTGCCTATGTTAAGATTATACCAGCTGCGAGGGAAGGCCCAGGAAGACCAAAGAGAAGCTCATTACAATCGTACAGGTGAGCGATGGTGATGAGTTGGCCCAGAGCCAGTGTAGCTCTGTAGTGGAAGTGGAGAGGAATGGTTAGAGCCTGTGTATTTTCAAAGGTAGACCCAACATCGTTTGCTTGGATTTGATTCCAAGGTATGATAGAAAGAGACGTTAAGGATGGCCCCAGTGTCTTCTGACCAAACTGGCTATGCTGTAAAAAGAGAAATTAGGGACACCAAGTGGGACCTTTTTGGTGATCCCAAAGGTCACACACCTCCGGTATTCAGCGTGTGGTATCTCCCTAGCCTCTTCTTCAAGATGCCCCACAGATGCTTTGTCTGTCAGTTCCTCCATCTCTCGAGCTGGTGCCCATTCCTGCGGTTGGCACCATTGGTGTACTACAGTGAGAAAATACGGGATTGGACCCAGATGATTTTACTTCACTAGGAGAAGGCCTTGACAATATGGCAGCACCCCAGTGGCTATAAACAAATGAAACACCCCCAAGGTTGAAGGAACAGCTTGAGTGGGAAACAGATCCCCTGTCTGGTGCCCACTCCTCTCGGAGACCCAAGCCAGGAAGTGTGCTGTGAAGCACGGGGGTGTTGAAGTAAAAGGTATGTGAGCAACAGAGTCATACAGTTACAAAGTAGACATGTCTTCATGCATGACTTGAACAAGTCCCTTTCTGCTCTGTGGTCCTCATAGTCTGTGTTTCTAAATTTGATTTCATTGTATGGTTGAAAAGCTGTGTGTGTTGAGGGGTAGATTGGGCTGAGTTCTAGATAGTCTACATCATTGGGGTCCTTATCACAGAACAGATACAGCTTATCAAAGAGGATGCTGGGGCCAGTTCAGTTGCTGGGTAACACTAAATGCTGTGACTCTCTCCCTTATCTCACCTTCCTGCTGTCTTTGTTCGAAGCTGTTAGGGGCCACAGCCATAGAAGACAAACTGCAGAACAGAGTACCTGAAACAATCAACACCTTGAACAAAGCCAAAATTAAAGTGTGGGTTTTAACCGGAGACAAGGAAGGTAAAGAGAAACGCCAAGCCTGATTGATCCTCTTCCCTGTGTGCTACAGTCAGGCCTCAACAAATTCTTCATAACGCAAGTCAACAAGTCCTGGCAAGGCACCGTCACTCTCAGACTTGCACACACTTGGCTGAGCATATACTTTATGCCAGATACTGTGTGGGGCATTGTGGACACAGAGGAAAATCCATCCGTCATCTAATAACTCACAAGCTAATCACTTCAGAGTTGTCTCTGATGATACCCAGAGATTCATTCCCGCATCCTGCCAATTCTAAGAAGCCTTTTGACTAGGCTGCCACCTCAGTTCCGCATCGGCCTCCTCTCGGTGGTACGTCCTTAAGAACTTCTGAAGTCATCGCTCTCTTGCCTTTAGTGACTTCAGCGCACACACAACCATCAGGTCCACCTTCCTGAAAGAGGCTTCCTCTTCCACTCGGTGGTCTACAGTGACTCCATGCCGTAGAGGGCAGAGCCCCCTGTCCGGCCTGCAACCCCTGGATCATCTCCTGCTGCGGACACATCCTTATTTCCATCTTGACGTGGCCATTATCTTCAGGGTGTCCTGCTAGAGGGCCTCTGTCCATGTTGTTGCTCCACTGGAAATGCTTGCTTCTTGCTCCTACACAAATCTTGCTCATTCTTTGACGCCATCTTTCATGAGGCTTCTGGGACCGTCGGTCTTTCCTCTGAATTCCAGTACCATTTTAAGCCAGGATTTAGGACTTTTTGGGGGGGGTGTTGGGGGGTGTCTTAACATGAGCTCATTTCAAACTAAATTTCTTGATAGAAAAGAAGGATGACCTCCCCCCCGATACTTGTCTCGGTCCCCCAAAAAATCTAGCCTAGGAGCAGGCTCAGCACCGTTAAGGAAATGCATCCTGAGTGCCTAGCCAAGTTAACATAGACTGGAATGGCTTTCAAAAATAGGTGAAGGCTCTTTGGAAAACGCTTAACCGGAATGATCCTAATTATTGATAAATAACTTGCAAATAAGTCTAGACCAGGTAGACAGTCGTCTACCAAAGCTTAAATATTGCCTCTGATGATTTGTGAAAATTACACTGTAATCGTATCCATGGAAAATGGCCGTGGCAGGCCACTATTAGAACCTATGAACCAAAAAGTGTGAAGACCATGTCCCCATCTGTAATCCCAGTCAAACTGAGACCTATGTACTTCTTTCCCGACAGAGACGGCTGTGAACATTGCCTACTCCTGCAACATATTTGATGAAAAAATGGATGGGGTGTTCATCGTGGAGGGCATAGAGCGCCAGACTCTGAGGAAAGAACTCAGGTAGACTTGGGACGCTGCCATCGCCAACCACTGGCTCCAAGATTTCTCACCCACCTCTTCGTTCAATACGACCTCCACTCTGCCCGACAGAACAAAGAGGTCGGAGAGAAGAAAGCAAGAAACTTAAAAGATTGTAGATAAATTTGTAAAGAAGCATTAGCTCGAAAGAGGCGCGAGTGTGGGGTAGGGAGATGATCGGGGCCCAAAGAAGCAGCAGGGTCAGGAGGCAGTCAGGTGTGATCTCCTGGCTGCTGCTTGACCGAGGCTCGGCACCCACCCTGCCTACTACCAGTCTGGGATACATTGTCTTCCCTAAGCGCTGGGGCTTCCAGTCAGACGCTGATCAACTACTCTTGACTTTTAGGTCAGCAAGATCCCAGATTAACCCTGCGTCTCTGCTGAAAACAGATCTGGGAAACATTTCTTCTACCCAAAAGCCCTTCAAACTCCCTGAGGAGAAGCCCAAAGGAAGCTATGGCTTGATCATCAATGGGCACACGATGGTGGGCAATAGAGCACTGTAACCCTGTTTCCTTCTTACAAGGAACCAGTCTTCTTACATCCACCCACCTGCAGGGGCATTCTACAAGCCCTTCCCTATTCCAAGAGTCACCCTACTCACCCTCCTGTCAGGTGTCCTTGGCCAACAACCCCCTTTCCTTGGGTTTCTGTATGTAGACAGCCGTGCATGAGAAAGAGAGAAAAGGAAGGCGTTTCCCCTTTATGAATCAAGTCACCCCTTCATCTGTGGTGCCCTCACATTTGGGGTAGGGCAATGAGCAGAACCAGGTCCTCCAAGAAGTCACCGGCCTTCACAGCCAGTCAACGGATTTGACTCCTGACCAAATCCCACTGGAAGCTGAGTCACCTGGGTCGTGGCCTCCCCGGGATGGGGTGGGGTGTGTGTGTGGACAGTCCCACGTGCAGCCTATAAAGGGCAGGAGAGTAGGGGGGAGGGGCATGTAAATGTGGTGGGTGCAGGGGCCCCTAAGTGCGGGGCAAACTGAGTGGGTGTGTCTTGTTGCCGCAGGCATGCGCGCTGGAAGAGAACCTGGAGCTGGAGCTGCTGCGGACTGCGTGCTTGTGCAAGGCGGTGGTCTGCTGCCGGATGACGCCCCTGCAAAAGGCCCAGGTGGTAAACCTGGTGAAGAAATACAAGAAGGGGGTGACCCTGGCCATCGGGGATGGGGCCAATGATGTCAGCATGATCAAAGGCATGTGTGAGGCGGGGTGGGGTGGGGAAGGAGCTGTTCCTTCATCCATGGGCACAGTGGGAGGGGTGGGCACGCTCCTGCATCACAGCCGTTGGATACACGGATGTGGTTTGGCAGCAGCATCCAGGTTCCCTGTCGCTGTGCTCAGGCCTTATTTTCACATGCACACGTCATCCCACGGGCTGGCCCCCATGCTCAGATTCATGCCCCGGCCCTCACAGATCTACCAGCTCCCACCAGAGCCCGTGCACCCACTGACACAACAGTAGGCTGGACAGCTGCCATGCCATCTTCCTCAGATGGCCCCAAAGTTGGCAGAAAATACCCCTGGGCAGGACTCCCGGGCGGTTCCCTTTCTGAAGGCTGGAGGCCTGAGCAGCAAGCCAGGGAATGATCCGTAAGGCCCAGAGCGGGGAGCCTCTCCTGCAAAGGCAGTGTTCCCAGGGCTTGCCCTGGTGCCCGCGGCTGGAAGGGAGCCGCATGTGCTGATACCTTCAGACCCATCAAGGGTAAAGGCTAGCCTTGGCCGTTCTCCCTGCAGTGGATGTGGGGAGCCTCTAGGAACTCGTGGGTCTGTGAGAGATGGGCACAGTCGGGAGGTCCCCTCGTTCAGCTTCTCCTCCCGCAGGAAGCACTGGCTGCTATCCCAGCCTCCGCGTCAATGCTAGAAGCGTTTCTTGTTCTCTTCCACAGTTTCTAGAACTTCACTGGGTTTGAGAATCAGCCCACCAGACAGTTCCGTAGATATGATACAAGAAGATCAATGAATGTGGCCTACACTATAAAAAACTAATGAGAACTTTTTATTTCCCATCAAATGTGATCCTTGCTTGGGCGGGGGTGGGGGGGTGGGGGTGGTAGGGCACCACAGGCCTCCTGTAGCACGCATTTTTCACCAACCAAGAACTATGCATGTCATGTACTCCTCCCGGCAGCTGTGCTTCAGGCCCCTTAGATAAACCCAGGTAATTAAATAGTTTGTTAGACTAACATCCATCCTGCATCTTTAATTAAGTCATTTGAATGGCTTCCAGACGGGCAAGGAAAGTCGTAGCTCAGCATCTGGGCAGTGGGGAAGAGGCCAAGACAAGCCCGGGTGGCCTGTAGCCCTGGTGCCACCTGGCATGCTCGAGTGGCAGCATCTAAAACAAAGTGCCAATGCGGGAGTTATTGTGTGACTTGTAGGAGAGGGAGGCCTGGTGGCATTGTCAGCTAAGCTAGGCACGGAGTTGGTGGTTCAAACCCACCAGCTGCTGCACAGGAGACACTTGAGGCTCTCTGCTCCCAGAAACATTGACAGCCCTGGAAGCCCTGTACAGAGTCACTGTGAGTCAGAATCGACCCAGTCTGGGCAGTGGCTTTCTTCAGTGGAGGGCCAATCCACTAAGGAGAAAAGACCCCACGGAGTAAGTGCTATTTCACGTGGGGCCTACCAGGATTTTCCAACTGTCAGCAAAGAGCTTGGGGGACCGGATCCCAGCCTTCTCTGGACACTCTCCAGGCTGGGAGCCCAACAATCAAGCTCTGTGGCTGAGAAGCTTCTGGGGTTCCATTGCAGCCGCCCACGTTGGGGTCGGCATCAGCGGCCAGGAAGGGGTGCAGGCCATGATCAACAGCGACTTCAGCTTCTGCCAGTTCCACTTCCTCGAGCGCCTGCTCTTTGTCCACGGTCGCTGGTCCTATAACCGCATGTGCAAGTTCCTCAGCTACTTCTTTTACAAGAACTTTGCTTTCACCCTGGTGCACATCTGGTATGCCTTCTACAATGGCTTCTCTGCACAGGTAGGAGGCCAGGTGACAATCCCCCCTCTGTGCAATTGGGTCTTGCTCTCGTCACCCCTACCCACCCACCACTGCCATTTCTGCCAATACAGACCTTTGACTCCTTGGGATCAATGTAGGTGGTGCTGCCATCCATCCATTAAGTTCCTGAGATGCTCCTCCCATCTCCCAACCGGGCATTATCTAAACTTAGGGGAGGAAATTCCTGGATCTGGGAGTTTTCTTAGCATCCAAAGTAGTCTTCGTGGGATGGGCTAAGCCTCAAGGAACATCAGGGCCATCCCCATCTTTAACCATGCTTGGGAACCCAACTCCATTTCTCCTTTTCCTGCTCCCCAATTGCTCCCCCCCCAACTCCCCTCCCCCCCCCAAACACCCACCTCGCTGGAATAACTTAATTCCACATTTGAATGTAAGAGGTGTCCGTTCTCCTATGACAAGAGTTTCAGGAGCCTCACATGGATTCCCAAAAGAAGCAACCTTAGGAATGATGATCTTGGGATCCTACTAGCCTTGTCACCACAGGTTCCAGAGAAAATAGGTCCGTCAGGAGACCTTAGGAAGACATCTGTAGGCCTCACAGGTTGAAAAAGGAGCTCTGGTGGTTAGCGAGTTCAGCCTTGAACTGCTATCTTGAAGGTCAAATGCCCAGGTTCCGCAGGGGAAAGATGGGGCTTTCTCCACCCACAAGGATGTTTACAGTCTTGGAACCCCACAGGGGAAGTTCTATAGGATCAAGGAGTCAGAATGAACTCAATGGCAATGAGGGAGCTTTGGAAGTTACTCTGGCTTAATGGAAATGTGTGTGGCTACTGACCTCTTGTGGCTAGTAAGGAAAGGGGGCCCAAGTTTCCAGGATGAAGCACCCAGCTGGGGAAGGGTCATTAAGTCTATTCTTGCCAATAATAGGGGTATCCAGTGCTATAGAAACCACTGTAAGTCAGAGGGAAAAAATAAAAAAATGGCCCAGAGGCTTACACGCCTGGGAGTGAAGATTACAGCCTGCAGGCCCTAGCAGGCACTCGAGGTCTTTTCTATGTAGAGAAGGTCAAGGCAGGTAGGGTTCTTGTGGCCTTGCCCCAGCCTGGGACCCAAGGCCAATCAAGGTTCCAGACAGAGGAAGACTCAAGACTAAGGGGCAACCTTCTGAGTCAGGTTTCTGAAATCAAAATGTTAGTATGGTGTGGTGGTGGGAGGATGGGGCTGTTTTGAGTCTGGGAGGTGAAACTGGAGCTTGAAGAAGGAGTCTGAGAAATCTCTTTGGTGCCCTTCTAGGCAGTTTATGATAACTGGTTCATCACCTTCTACAACCTGTTCTACACTGCCCTTCCTGTCCTGGCCCTGAGTCTGTTTGATCAGGTAAGACCAGTGGAAAGCCTGACTGCAGAAGTCCCTGGACTCTTGAGAAGTATTCCCCCACATGAGGAGTTTAACAAGAGCGAGCAAATATCCCAGTTTGGGGGTTTTGTTTTTGTTTTTCGTGTCCATTTTATCCTTGTAGAGAATCACATGGAAATTGTGCTACATGGTAAATTGAGGAGCCCTGGTGGCATACTGGTTATGCATCAGGCTGCAGTCCGAAAGGTCAGCAGTTCAAACCACTGGCTGCTCCTTGGGAGAAAGACAGGGCTATTTATTCCCATAAACAGTCTTGGAAACTCACAGGGGTGACTCTACCCTGTAGAACTATAGGATCACGATGAGTCAGCATCAACATAGAAATAAATATACGGAGGGCTTCAAAAGACGAGTGGACACTGCAATTCAGAGATAATGGGACTTCTTGAAGCCTCTTCACAAATTGTTAAGTCAGTGCAATGAAGCCTAGGGAGAGAGGTCATGAAGGCCAAGCATGGGTGTGCAGCCTGATGCTGTGAGCCAGCTTGGTGACACCCTCTGTCCCTGCATGTCCACCATCCTGTCTCACCTTATCCCTCGTCCACCCCTACCACCCGCTCTGAGCACATGGGCTAGAAAAAGAGCATCCAGAGAGCAGTTAAATAGCGAAGAGAGAATGTCGAAGGATAAGGGTTCCCGTTCTCCACCATGGTAGTGATTCTGAAGAAAATTCTCTAGGAAGGAACTGTCAACCGCAGAGCACCAGGAGGGATGGGTTACATCATTCAGTATTTCTCTGGAGCCTCAGTGGTCTCTATCTAGAAATCTACACAGCTCTGAGAAGCCCTGGCGGCGCTGTGGGTCACACGGTGGGCTGCTGACTTCAAGGGCAGATTCAAACTCATCAGTGGCTCCTTGGGGAGAAAGATACAGCTGCCTGCTTCCATAAAGATCTAGGGTCTCAGAAACCCTGCAGAAGGTCACTGTGAGTCAGCATCAGCTCACTGACAGGGATCTGGGGGGGGATCATCACTGAAGCCAACATCCAAACATTGCCATCAGAAATTTCAGATGTAAGAGGAGAAAGTGATCCACTGTGACCCACACAGAGAGTCCTCGCACTTGGTTTTACCAACAGCTGTGGGAGTGGAAGGGAACTCTCAGAACGTGGATTATTTCCATGGACTCTCTGGTCTCTGTTGACTTCCCCACCTCCGTCCCACTGCACTCCTGAAGGGCTTTTGATATAAAGAACATTCAAGTAAAGGAAACCTAAACCTGGAATCTCATGCCTTCCACCTCCCCAACCCCAATCCTCCCTTCCAGTCACCCCAAACCTAACTCCGTCCTTCTAACGTAACTCCTCAATCCTGACTCCACCTCCTTCCCACTGCCCCACTGTCTCTCACCTACCTAGGTCCTTGCCTGAAGAAGAGGATTTCAGATAGGGTCGAGAGTCACTGCTCTGTTCTCTGGTTTTCCTCCTCATGAGACCCCAAGGGAGCCAGCCACAAACCAGCCAGGACTCAGTGAGGGAAAAAGCCTCTCTGCTGGGGATGAGACCTTCTATGGAAAAACCCTGATCCTTCCTCCTTGCCTGTGGTACTTCTAGGACGTGAGTGAAACATGGAGCCTATATTTCCCAGAGCTGTATGAGCCAGGCCAGACCAACCTCTACTTCAACAGGACGACATTTGTGAACTGTTTATTGCACGGGATCTACACCTCCTTGGTGCTGTTCTTTGTCCCCATGTTGACCACTTACCACGCAGTGCGCGATGACGGGAAAGCAATCGCCGACTACCAGTCCTTCTCCATCACGGTGCAGACCTCCTTGATCTTTGTGGTCACCATGCAGGTGTGACTAGTGCGGTGAGAGTAAGGGGACTGGGTGGGGATCCTGGCTGGAACAAAGGGAAGGAGGGAAGCGGGGTGTGAAGGGAGCATCCTCCATTTGGAAGAAGAGAAGGGAGATGACTACTGGGTCTCAGGACACAGAACACTGGATATAAGCAGATGCCTTTTAGGTTGCCCTGAAGACAGCCTACTGGACAAGCATAAGCCACCTCTTCACCTGGGGTAGCCTGACCTTCTACTTCTGCGTCATCTTCTTCCTGTATAGTGATAACCTGTGCCTGATGTTCCCCAACACCTTCCAGTTCCTAGGTAAGGCCCTGCCCCATACAGGGATGGGATGGCAGAGAAGTTTTAACTCGGTGTGTCTGTTGACTGTTTATTGTACAGATATTCCCATGTAGGTTCTGTGGATAAAGATATGAGGAAGACATGACCTCTGCATTAAAAGGGCTTACAAAAAATCTAGAGGAAATATTTTTCCTTGTTAGTATTTTCAAGTTATCTTCAGATCTCTTACCAAATTTGATCTTTACAGCAGCACGTGATAGGGGGCAGACAAGAACTAGTAGCACCATTCTAGAAACCAGAGACAGATTTTTTTTAAAAATTCAGTGACACAACTGTAGGTTTCCTGACTCCCGGGCCAATGTCCTTCACGCTGTGGCACCTTGTCAATTGTCTCCCATACGAATCCCCCTTTCCCCTCTCTGCTCTGCTGAAGATGACATGCTGAGGAAGTCGAGGTACAGATGTAGCAGACCCCCCTCTTGCCAGTCCATGAACTCATTTTCCTCTGTCCAGTCCTGGTGATGTAGTGGGTTACATATTGGGCTGCTAATGGAGAGATCAGCAGTTTGAAACCAGCAGCCACTCCAAGGGAGGAAAAGGAGGCTTTCTGTTCCCATAAAGATTTTCCGCCTCACAGACTCTAAGTGGCAGTTTCAGCTCTGCCGGATCGATGGAGATGAGTCAGAATCAGCTCAGTGCCAGTGAGAGTTTTGTTGTTGGTGGTTGATTTTCGGTGTTTGCTTTTGGGTTTGTTTGCTTGTTTGTTTCTTTAAGTCCTCCCTCTTATTTTTTGTGTCTAGGGCAATGCCCTAGGGTTCTCCCATAACCTCCCCCACTCACCTGCCCTGTCTTTAGGGTGACTTTATACTGATAGTGACTCTGGCTTCAGAAAGGACCCAATGGGCAATTGGGGGCATTTATTTTATGTCTCCGGAGACGAGACAATCTCCCAATCAATCATTCTCTCCTGTGGACCAGAATGGTATTGCTGTACCAACAGTCATTCCCTGCCCCACCAACATCAGCCTCCCACCTACCCCCACCCCACCCCATCACCCCACTCTGCGGGGGGCCTTTCCCTTTCTGCCTGGTTGTTTGCAGGAGTGGCCAGGCACACCCTAAGGCAGCCGCAAGCGTGGCTCAGCATTGTCCTCACCGTCACCCTCTGTATGGTGCCCGTGATCACGTACCAATTTCTCAGACCCCTGTTCTGGCCTCTCAAAGTGGACAAGGTGAGAGGAACCTGGGACCCACCCAGCCGTAACCTACGCCCGCCCCTCTTTGTCTTTGCCTCTGTGTATGAACACTCTGCCCCCGCCCCCTGCTCTGGCTGCAGGCGGTATCCAGAATCCGGGAATGCATGAGGCAGCGTCCCACGCCATTGGCAGCCCCGGCCAGAAGGAAGCACGTGAAGCCTCGACGCTCCGCCTACGCTTTCTCCCACAAGCAGGGCTTTGGGGCTCTCATCACTTCCGGCAGGACCCTGAAGTCCAAGTCATCCAGGAAAAGCATCCAGAGCCAGAAAAAAAGGAAGGGCGCCAGAGAACCCCCAAAGGAGCCCGTCATCGGGTTCGTGCCCTTGGTGCATGCAATGTAGTCAGGAGGGCGTGGAGGCCCAGAAGAAGCAGGCCGATGCTTCTCTCTACAGGGGTTCAGCCTCTGGGCCCCTGGAGGAAAGAAGAGAAAAGGTAAAGAGAGAGCCGGCAGAGGTCCGCCAGTGTTTGAGCATTTCAAGAAAAAGCTGCCTCCTGCCTCCCTTCCACCAAGCCTTCCCAGTTTTAATCCAGATAAGCACATGTGGAAGTTGAGGATGGAAAGGGATCAGGCGGGCAAGGACAAAGACCCTCAGAATCCTAGTTGGACCTGATTGCCCATCTCCAGGCAATCACAGACTTTCCCAGGGCCCCCACCCTTATGTACTCCCACCCAAGCCCCCTTCTCAGATCTCTCAGGGCATTCGGGGTGAGTCTGACACCGGCCCTGAGGAACAACAGGGGAAGGCCACAATGAATTGTTCTTAAGAAGCTGAAGGAGAATTTCTGGAGTTTAAATAAAAATGGAGGTAATTCCTGCCTGAACAGGACAGCTCAGGGTTTTGCTTCCTTCCCTTCTTTTGGGCCCCCAAACTGTCATCTATCCAAGACTCAGAACAGGAGGGGAAGACGACAAGGGATTAAGAAAAAATCTTTATTAAGGGATGTAAGTCATAATTCGGGAACATTTCTATTCACCCCTAAAATGATTTTGACAAAAGAATGAGGTGTACTTGGGAAGTTGTTTCTGGAGGAATAAATTACTTCTTTTGGAGTGGGGCAATTCATCGGGTCTGTTGGAACCCCAGTGACATTCACGGCACTGAACAATATCATTGACCCACTGACCCTCTCTCACCCATCCGAAGGAGAGGCCTCTGACCAGACCCGGATTTCCCTCTGAGAGCCCTTGCTCTCCTTGGCCAGCTCCATCTCACCTGCCTCCTCTCTCCTGCTAACAACCTCTTGTCCTTGGTTTGCTCACCTTTGTAACTAGATTGCTCTGTCCTCTGAGCACACCGTACATTGGCTCCTCAAGCTCAGCCCTGGGTTCTCTGCTCATCTTTCTTGCTGCATTTCCCCAGCTAACTCCATCCACGTTCATGGCTGCATTCAGCAACAGAAAGGAAATTCCCAACTTTATCTCTAGCCTTAATCTTTTGATCAAGGTCCAGATTCATATATTAAAGGGAGTTTGAGTCCCATCATAGGAGTTGAAGCTCAGGGAGCTCAAACTCAGTCCATCCAACTTGTCTCCAAATCTCTCCCCAGACACCACCACTATCATCCTAGTCACCCAAGACAGAATGACAGGAGCCATCCTATATGCTTCACTCTAGCCTAATATTCAGTCAGCCGTTAAGTTGTGTAAATTCAGCATCCTTAGTCTCTCTTGCTTTCCGTTCCTTCCATTATTGCTGCTGTTGCTACATCATTTTCATTGCCTCTCACTTGTACTACTTCTCTTCCATCTCACCTCTTTCTAAAATAGCACGAAGACTGCTTCCAAAGTAATCTTTCTGAAAGGCAACGTTTGCTGTCAGGACCAAGCTTAGCATCCTTCAGAGGCTTCCCAAGCCTTCCAGACCAAGTTAAAAGTCAAACGTTATATTAACTGGGCCCTGTCTAGTGTTATCCTTTACTCTTCCCCCATCTGAATTCACTTCAGTAATAGTATTTTTGATCTACATGTCCTCAAACATGCTCTTCTCATTCCAAAATGCTTCTCTTTACCTCCTCCTTTATCTAACCAACTCCTAGCCATCCTTCAAAACTCAAAGTAGTTGGAACTATATCGGATGATGGTTGCAAAACAAGGTGAATGTCAATTATTAAAATATTAAACACTATTAAATGCCAATCAATTATGCTTTAAAATGCTTAGCAATATGGGTATTTCACTTCAATTTTTAAAAATTGACTCATATCAGGTTTAACTTCTCCAGGAAACCTTCTGAATTTCCCAGTGTGATATGATGTGGACACCTGTCTTTTTTGCTCAGTGACACCCCTGTTCATACACCCCTGCCAGTGACATGATCACAGGACATCGCGCTCAGAGGTTGATTTGTCTATCACAGTCTTAATGTCTGTTGGATGACTGAACAAACGAGAGTGTTGAAATCCATTGCTCTGTCGATATTACTTGTTTCCCGCAGTAGTAGAATCAACACCCACTAGCTCAAACCAGGAGTCTGGAAGTCTTTCAGATGCCTCTCTGCTGTTACTTAATCAAGGGGTGGGGAACATTTTTTTTCTGCCAAGGGCCATTTTGGATATTCAAAACGTCATTTGTGGCCCATACAAAATTATCAACAACGTGGTCAAACATTTTGTTGTGGTTGTTAGGTGCCCTCAAGGCAGTTCTGACTCATAGTGACTAATTGTTGTGTGTCTGAGCCCATTGTTGCCACAACGGTCCATCCATCTCTGCAAGGGCCTTCCTCACCTTCGGGTCCCCTCCACTTTACCAACCAGGATGTCCTTCTCCAGGGACTGGTCTCTCTTGATAATATATCCAAAGTAGGTTAGATGAAATTTCACCATCTTGGTCTCTAAAGAGCTGTACTCCTTCCAAAACAGATGTTTGTTCTTTTGACAGTCCATGGTACTTTCAATATTCTTCACCAACACCATAGTTCAAATGCATCAGATTTTCTTTGTTCTTCCTTAGTCTGACTTTCACATACATATGAAGCAATGGAAAATATCATGGCCGGGGTCAGGTGTACCTTAGTCCTCAGTGTCACATCTTTGCTTTCCGACACTCTAAAGAGGTTTGGGCCACAAACTGACCCAGTGCATCATGTACATCATTTGATCTCTTGACTGCTGCTTCCATGGACACAGACTGTGGATCCGAGGAAGATACAATCCTGGACAACAGCAGTCTTTCCTCCCTTTACCGGGACGTTACCTATTGGTCCAGTTGTGAGGATTTGGGTTTTCCTTACAGTGAGTTGCAGTCCATACTGAAGACCGCAATCCTTGATCATCATCAGCAAGTGCTTCAAGTCCTCCTCACTTTTAGCAAGCAAAGGTGTGTCAGCTGTACACCGCAGGTTGTTAATAACCCTTCCTCCAATCCTGGTGCCCTATTCTTCATAGAATCCAGCTTCTCGGATTATTTGCTCAGCATCCAGATGAATAAGTATGGTGAGAGAATACAACCCTGATGTGCACCTTTCCCAATTCTAAACCCTGTAGTGTTGCCACGTTCTATATGTACAACTGCCTCTTGATCCACGCATGGGTTCTGCTTGGGCACAATGAGGTGTTCTGGGATTCCCACTCTTCTCAGTTGTTATGATCCGCACAGTCAAATGCTTTTGCGTAGGCAGTGAAACACAAGCAAACATCTTTCTGTATTCTCTGCTTTGAAGCAAGATCCACCTGACATCAACAATGATATCACTAGTTCCACAACCGCTTCTGAATCCTGTCTGAACCTCTGGCAGCAAGCTGTCAATTTACTCCTGCAACCATTGTTGGGTGACCTCCAGTAAAACTCTACTTGCATGTGACATCAATGATATTGTTCTGTCATTGAACATTCTGTCCAGTCACCTTTCTTTATTTGTATTTATTTTTTTAAATCATTTTATTAGGGGCTCATACAACTCTTACCACAATCCATACATACATCAATTGTGTAAAGCGCATTTGTACATTCATTGCCCTCATCATTCTCAAAACATTTCCTCTCCACTTAAGCCCCC